GTTAATGAGGGAGATTTTAAATACTGTTATGGTAGGGGAAACTAGTAAGTTCAGCAGAATTGGGGCGTAACCAGTGACCACTCTGACAGCTGGTTCTGCAGCTGAAATGTGAACTGAGTGGAGGGATCGAGCCTGGCTCCATGTGAGCATGTTCCCACCTAACTCTCAACGTGGAGCCTCTACAGCCAAGATGTGGGCTGTCCCAGGTCTTTCATCTCCGATAAACACAGGCCTTTCTCTACTTTAGCAGACACACACACATATCTATTTGTATACACAGACATCGCTGGTGGCACTGTGGGTTAAACATTGAGCTGCTGATTGCAAGTTGGTGGTCCAAACCCATCAACTGTTCCACAGGAGGAAGCAAAGACTATTTGTTCCCATAAAGATGTGCAGTCTTGGAAACCCTAGTAGGTCACTGAGTTGTAATTGACATGCTAGCAGGGGGTTTAGCTTGGGTTTGGGGTGTTTGTGTATGCGTTGTGTGTATGTGCACACACATTTTTTATACACATTTATATACACAAGGAGATAGAAATGATTTGCAAGAGTTTTTCTAATCATCAAATATGATAATGATTCTCTGGTTCAACTGAAGGAATTGGCCTCTAATATTGAAAATCCTCAGCTGCTCAGAACTCTCTAACATTCACTTTTATTTCAAGAGAAAAGACAACCAGGGTGTGAGCCAGGGACGGGAACAAGGAAACCCATCAGGGTGCTGGCAAGCTAGTTCATAGGAGGCAGGTTTGGAGTTTTATGGCATTAGCCCATTACAGTGTATTGTCTTTAAAACCTGAAACCTCAGCTCAGGGGTAGGTCGCAACGCTTCCTGAAATCTCTTGAGCAGCCTCAAGACTACAATATCCTCGAGATCTCATTTCTGCCCCTGCTTAAAGAAAGAAAGAAAAAAAAAAAACACCTGGAATTTCACATGTGCCCAGATTCTATGGGGGAAACTCCAACTGTGCTGTTCTGTGAGATTAGATGATCAAATGGAGCATATTTTCCCCTTCAGACGGAGAAACAAAATAAACACATCAAGGGGTAATAGTCTCAGTAAAAATCCTTTGTTGAACAGGCAAACAATTATGAGACAAAAAAAGAGAAAAAACCCAAACAAGAATACATGACCAAATGCTTTGATGTCTTAAAAGCAAATATTTTCATCTTTAAAAAACAAATACTCATTGACCAAATCAGATATAATTAGTTGTGTGGGGTTTTTTTTGTTTTGTTTTACAAGCAACATGTTACTAAGCTTGCAGAAAGGAATCACCCTGCACTGGGTAAATGTGCCGCAGTGATCGCTTTTAAAACCTGTTGAAAAGTAAGGAGGCTTCTTTGAGAACTAAGAGATGCCTGACCCAAGCCATGGGTGGTTTGTTTTTCCTATCGCCTGATATACATATTATAGTTGGACATTGAATATGGAAGTCTGAAGAACAATCAATGCAATTAAATTGTGATACTGGTGAAGACTACTGAAAGTACCCTGGGACGGTCCAGAGAACCAAAAAATCTGTTCTAGAAGACGTGCAGCCAGAATGCTCCAGAAGCAAGGATGGTGAGACTTGGTCTCACGTCCTGACACATGTCAGGAGAGACCAGTCCCTGGAGAGGCCATCACGCTTGGTAAAGTGGAGGGGCAGCAAAAAGAGGAAGAAGCTTAACAAGATGGCCTAAGAAGCATTGTTGAGGCTGACGCAGGCCTGGCGATGTCTCCTTCTGTCGCACACAGGATCACTATGAGTCGCAACAGACTCAAACGTACCTAACAACAATCAGGAGCTATTAGAATCCAAGCAAGCCAAATGGCACATTGCGTACGAAAATATTCAGTGGGGTTTCTCATTAACCAGAGACCTCTTCCTGGAAGAGGCTAGCTTCAGAGGAACAACAGCCTTCTGGTTCTACAAACGGCTTAGCTACAAAGCATACTTTTCTCAAGCTGAGTTATTGATTCTATCTTATTGTTTTATTAGAGAAGTTCAAATTGCTCTGTGAGATATGGGACCCTAAAATGTTTACACTGAAGTTTAACTACTAGAGGGATCATATTTTCTTTATGAAAATCCAACTCCAACTGACTGGAAAGGAGAATGTCACCGATCAGGGTGTTCATCCATCAATTCAAGTCTTTGGGAAAAGGTGTGCAAGTGGCACCCAGACATTTTCCAGAGATTCCTTGGGGAGGTACAGTTGCTTTTGTAAATATGTAAACATGTAAATAATGAAGGGACCTCCATTGTGTAATTTAAAAAGGACCTATTAATGTTAATGGTATTGGATATCATACACTTCAAAGCATTTCCTCAAACCTTCTTAAATTTAAATGCCCTAACATCGTGGCGGGTCAAGCAGACTCGGGTATGAGGGTAAGTAAAAAAGTTCTACTACAGAATCGTAAAAACCATTGCTAAATAAAAAGTACAAAACTGCGGCACATTCTTTTTCCCCACAGACCCTCCATCTGCATCTATACACTTCTGAAGGCAGGGTTCCCGTCTCTCTACCGCTTACACCCGCCGAGAATTCTGCACATCGATTTACGTCCTGTCAAAATGGCGGTTCTGGTATCCTTGGGGAATTCAGACTGTGTTTCCATTCAAGGTTCTTTGAATTGGGGGGACAGAGTCTAATGGGGACGAGCAGGGCGGTAGGTTGCATTGCTGAGATGGGGAAACAATTCCTAGTCTTTTTGACACCAATGCAGTTTTCAATAGTCTTGAAATTTCTTCCTGTGTCCTTCAAGAAGATTTATCAAGGTCACTCCTTAGTAATTTCTAGACCTTAACCTTGACACCATAACCTTCCAAGCTGATCTCTCTGCCTTGAATCTAAATCTTGGATCTAGGTTCCCCTCTGAATCACTGGTTTGACTGGACCTTGCTCTCTGGATTATGTTTGTAAATCCAAGACTCAACCTCAGTTATGGTTCATTCTATTTCATGAGCTTTGTTCTGGCTTAAAAGACTGATGGAGAGATCAGCTCTTTGTCTAAGCTGATACGCATGCAACATACTTGCAAGTTTGGTACCCATCCAGCTTGGAAGGGAAAATGCTGAGCCGTATGATAGACAGCTTTCACATCAATGGTAATTCTATGATCTTGTTCTACCAGCTTTTGGACTTCAATCACAGTTGCTTCATTCATTGAGGTTGATGGTCCTTCCTTCTCTTGGCTCATGTTTTAGGTCTTCTGAGTTTTCTTAAGATGCTTGGTCCATCTAAAAAATGTTGTTCTTTGTCGGGTCGCATCCCCCAAAACTTGTAATGCTGCAATGACTTGGGAATATCATAGTCCAGACCTAAACAGTATTCTTATTTTTCATGGTACAAAAAGCTTTTTGTTTTTGTCTTTTTAACACCCTACCTACAAAACTACCCGAAGACAACAAACACACCTGTCTTGGAAGTACAACCTGGATGATTCTTAGAAGGATGGCTTCTAAGGGAAAGCTCAGCAAAAGAGTGAGAATGTCAAGGGGATGGGTGGACGCAGTGTCTACAACAATGGGCGCAAACATCAAGCTCTGGATGATGGCACAGGGCCGGGCAGGCAGTATTTCCTTCAGTTGTAGAATGGGTCGAACCCGACTCCACATCTTCCAACAGCAACAGAACCAGACAGCTAGGATTCAGAAAAGTGGGTCACGAAGAGAACTTGTCTGCAGCCGTCCACTGAGGGAGGGCATGTTTAAACATGTTTTGTTTGGAAGAAACGTGGGCAATTATGAGTTGGAATCCTAGCAATACCTTTCTACTTGCCCTCAGATTGCCAACCTTGTTTTATCGCAAAAGGAAAATAAAGAAGGAAGACAACAAGTCCAAGTCCACACAGCAAGTCAACAGCGGACCCAAGCTCTATACTTTTCCCACATGCCTACCCCTGTGTCCCCACCAGAAGAGTAACTCTGAGACGTACCAGCAATGGTGGTCACAATAGCAAAAGCAACAGTAACTAGCACTCGTTGAGCGCTGACTGTGTGATAGAAATAATGCTGAGTAGGATACATGTATTACTTTATTTGATCATCCTTTGCATAACAGTATCAGTAGACACTATTTAATCTTGTGGTTAGAGGACGAGGGCATGGCGGATGAAGGGATTTGATTCAGAAAATACAGGGCTAGGACTGAATTGCTCAACCTGTTCCCTGATAGGCTGCTGGCTCTCAGGTGTCAAGTCATCGCGTCTTTGCTGCGAAGTCACCTTCTCAAGGGGGCCTGTTAAGGACACTTAATTTAAAGACACAGCCACCCTTTTCATGCTGCCAAAGGTGACCCCTTCTCCTGCTCCACGGCATGATTTGCAGTTAGTTTTCCTTTTTAATGCTGACTGTTAATAAGGGCAGGGATCTTTTATTTTTCCTCAACAACCTACCCCGAATGTGTTCACAGTGCTGCCCAATCCCGGCCTTTCGTGATGATGGAATGTTCTCTGTGCTGCCTACTGCAGGTGCCATGCATTGCACAAGAGTAATGTTTGGAAGAGGCTAGTGCAAGACAAGGACTGCATTTTAAATTTCCTTATTTACATTTAAATAACCGCATGTGCCCAGTGGTCACCACACCGGGAACACTGGCCTAGGACAATGCCCAGAACGAATACATCCTCAGTAACTATTTGCTGAGTGAATGTATAACTGCACAAAAACAACCTATTTTCCATATAGCACACGCACGTCTATTAAACAAAAATTAAATTTCATACTCCGCCCTCCCCACCAGAATGCCTGAAGAGAAGTCCAGATTAAAATTAAGAAAAAAGTCTGAAAACTCAGGCGGTAGGACCCAAGCAGCAAGCACACCAAGTTTTCAAACCGTTGGCTCTTCATTACCATTGCGACTCCAAAGCCTTCCAAGTCATTTTCTGAAAACCGAGAGGAAGCAAACCAGCAGCTCAGAATCAATTCCCATGTAGATGAATACATACATACATATATAATACGGCTATGTATATAATTACAACTATTATTATAATCACACAATACCTTTTTGACCTTGTTCTTTTTCTCATAGGCCTCTGACAGGGGTTTTTTCTTCTGTTGAGTTGTGTCTTTGGAGAATAAATACTCAAATTCATTCGGATCCCGAATATCAGGTTCTTCTAAGGAATCCCATAAGGTTGGTGCAGCATTTGGGCTGTAAACAGAAAATGACAAGTTAAACTTGGGAACTAAAATAGAAAAGAATATAATGAGACTTTGTTCATTTTCTTTCTGTCTCCACTTTTAACACATCCTAGTCAAGCACAGGCAACGTTTCTTTTCACATCACACATTTCATTTTAAAAGTCAAAATACACTGTAGAATGTTCAAGCAAACGCCCCAAAGAAATAAGTAAAATAAAAAAGCGCTCTATAGCCATCATGTGCCACCAGACCGCCTGCAAGTCAGATTGTGGAGGCTGTGCACATGACCCCCCCCCTCAGTCTGTGGTGTTTTCAGGAAAAGGAAAATATGATTTTTAAGATGAGCTCAGGTCAACTCTGCCCAGGCCCGTTAACATGTAAACAGTTGTGTACCCTTAAAAATAACTGATTGATAATTACTCACCTTCCAAATAACTCCCCCAAACAAGAAAAAGCAAATAAAAATGCCTGCTCCACAGTGCCATTTCCCAAAGGGATGTCAAGGAACCCTGACGTGTGCAGAAAGACACTGCGTGGTGCCATCTTCTGGAGACTGGGGCACACTAGCCTGGCAGCAGAGGAAGGAAGGTGGGGAGTCTGGGGCAGACGCACCATCTGTGAAGGGAGTTCTGCGCCCTGCGGTCAGGAAACAGCTTCCAAATGCCAAATTCCTGCACAGCTTAAAAATAAAACGTAATATCCAGAGGAAAAATGGCCTCATCTATATATTTACTGTTCATGAGATACATGAAGTTATGATCAATAACATGAGTGCCTTTGCCTTCATTTCAGTACAGATTATCTCAGTCAAGGAAACTAACAACAATCACTCAAAACTGTTACATGAGGTGGCCCACACTTTTGGGTGATGCTGGTGGGGGAGTGGGGTATACTAAAGGTAACTAACTTTATTCCAAACAGTTCAGAGAACTGGCTTTTGGGGTCTGTGGGTTCACATTTTGCTTAAGGTCTATTTTGCCCATGAAAGACAACAGCTTGGTTCTGATAACATTCATTTCTTCTCCTCTCCATTAAAAAAAAAAATCAGTTTTCTAATATAACATTTTAATCTTTCAGGAGACGCACACAGGGTGAGATGTAGTCAATCACTATGGCCCTTCTAGCCATTATTCCGTATATAATGTATCATAATTCTGTTCTCTGCCCGCGGCTATGGTCCCATTTGGAGGGAGTTCTTGGCTACAAGACTAAGGTGAGATTAAGTTAGTATAGGGTGTGAGCCATGTCACACCCTGTGTTTCCTGGGGGGAAATCTTCAAGATTACATTACTAGAGGGTGAGACATAAGATACCATCCTTCATTTTCTTTCTTTTTAATTTAAATTTACCAGGATTATTGGCATAATGCACACATCATACAACTCGATGATTTAAATTAATTAAAAAGACTTGTGCCATCGTCACCACCATTTTAGAACGCTTTCTCTTTCTTATACTCATTATTAGCTCCCCATTCCCCGCAACCTCCCCGGCCACAGCCACAGACACCGTTCATGCAAGGACTGTCTCTGTAGATTCACCCATGCTAGACACCACATAAAGAGAAACATACAGAAGCAAATGCAAAACAAAAGCTCAGCAACGACCAAATGAAACACAGAAAATGCTAGTTCACGTCCTTGGGGGTATGGCAGGTCTAAAGACCAAAACCACACCTCCATCAAAGCCATTCTTCAGTGTGAAGCGCCATGTGGGACACAGGAGCAATCGCAGGACCAGGTGGAAGAGTGTGTCTGAGATCTCTGTCTAAACCGGCAGAGCCAGCTGAGACCAGTTGCACCAGGGACTGTGACAGGAGATCAGTCTAATGGGTACCTTCACCTCATCTGGCCCAAGACAATTGGCCGGTGCGACAGCAGGATAGGTAGGCTGGCTTCTGGGGCCTCAGAGGCAGACGCCAAGGAAACACGTGGCTGAGAGTCTAAGGACCAGAAAGAGACTTGACTGTTGGCTGAGGGGGTGTTGCTGTGGACCAACGACTATATCCTTACTGCTTACTGATCCTAACCTGTGGTAGCCTATTAACTTTCCTAATCAATGCCCTCTCTTAATCGTGAGTACTATCTGTGGGTCTCGGGTAACCATGGCAACAGATGAATGAATCCAGCATAAAAGTAGAG